GTGGACATTTCAGATTCAACCGTGTGGGAGGCCCTTATAGCATATATTAGAGGCCAAATTATTTCATACGGTGCTAATAAAAGAAAGCTCTCTAAAGAAAAGCTAGTTTTACTCGCTAATGACATTTCAAGGTAAGATGAACAATATGCTAGGTCTCCCACGCCAGCATTGTGCTGAGGGAACGTTAGCTCACATGTTCTGGACATGCCCAAATGAGAACTTTACTGGCGACTGATATTTCACACTCTTTCTGCGGTTCTTCAGCATAGATTAGAGCCAGAACCTCTGGTGGCATTATTTGGAGTTGCTCCAGAGGACGTATGGTTGTCAGCATCGATGTGTAAAGTCCTTGCTTTCTCTTCGTTGCTTGCACGTAGAGCAATATTATTCAAATGGAAAGATGCCTTGCCACCCACTCATACTCACGGTATCGGCTTAAGTTGGAGAAAACAGCCGCAGGGGAACTTAACCTTCTAGGGTAGCAGTTTGAATAAATAATAAACATAGCAGTTTGAACTCTTCTCCTCTTTATTATACCACACATCAGATCACTAACTCCAAAAAACCGGCGACACTCCAGTACCAAGTGCGCACGACCCATTCCTATCTACGGCAAGTCCCGAGGGGAAAAATACATTGCATACACACATACAACGAGCGTCAGTACATCATTACCGGTGTTATAGTAACAGACTTTGTTGGATTCTGTCATGTACTATCCAACAAAGTCTGTTACAATAATAATAATAATAAAGATTTTGAGGACAGTTACACTGTATTGAGACAGTTGAGAAATAATAATTTTTTTTACAGTTTTCAACAATAATTGTCATTGTTGAACCCTTGCTCTTATTATGTTTCTGATTTTTCAGTTTTGTCATTATTTTAGCAAATAATTTATTTTATATGTTTTGAGACAGTTTGTTTTAAGAAGTTTCAAAGAGTAAAGTAAAAGTTACAACTTTTTTTTTTTTTAAGTAGGCATCTATTTTGTATTAATACATAACCTCACTGTATTCATTTATAATGCATCATTATTGCGTGACATTTGTGTCAATAATCGTCAAGCACAGGGGACTTCGCGTAGTGGGAGGGGGCCCCCAAATCGAATTCTGCTTAGGGCCCCCAAAAGGCTCGGACCGGCTCTGACTATGCTGATAAGTCTGTTTAAATAATGCCACTACAATTGTATTTATTTATTTATTATTTTTACTTTTTATGTATTTGTTGTATTTGGTTGGAGGTTAATGTTTGTTAGTATGTTTGTAAGTATTGTATGTATGCTCTGTTCTTACAATTGCATTTTGAATTAATGGACAGTATGGGCGTCATTCTAAGATTTGATAGTGAGGGGTGGGGGACTTTGAATGTGATGTATATTGTGAAAATCAATAAAAGCAAACTTTGAACCAAAATAAAGTTATATAGGTTTAAGTTTATGAAAATTATTTATAAACATTATTTTATATAAAATATATATTTTATAAAACAAGTTGAACTCAAAAACGGCTAGAAAATCAAAGCCATTAAAGGTGAACTAAGTAACTTTTTAACCTTAACCGAACAGCTTTGGAGTCATTGTAATGTTTATATTACTGATTTCGTGTTGAATGGTGGTCGTCTCGCACCCCCCTGGTGCCTGTGAGCCGCAAAACCACCCTTGCAACTTTGGGCCGCCGTCCTCAGTGTTAGGAAGTATCATGTGTGATATCAGGTCTCGCGAAGTAATGAATTGCTTTACGGCAAAAAACAGATCTGATAAAATTCTGATAAAATGAGCATCAAACAGAAATAACCCGGCGCCGTATACATGTGGTGTTCGAGGCGCAAGGCGCGCGCAGCTCTTAAAGGGGCCATACCTTATCTCCACTCGTTACAGCGTCCATACTGAACAGGTACCGGTGTACAGGGGGAGGGGATCCGGCCGTGAGTGCGAGCCATCTCTGCGTGAGTGCTATTCACGACAGTGCAAGTACTTCACAGCGACTCTAGGGGTCGCTGTTTGACAAAAACGGAATTCCTACTTAGTGCTGGTTTAAGGTCTATGTGGCGGCCATAGTTGCCTTCCACACGCCTCTAGGGGTGGGCACCTTGGGGAGACATAGTGCGTTTCCTTCGTGGAGCTAGGAGGATGAGGCCTGTCGTCCAGTCCAGGGTCTGGCAGTGGTTCTTGAGGGGTTATCCCTGGCAACCTTCGAACCCTTGGATGAGGTGTCTGAGAAAATTTTATCTTTAAAAGGTAGCTTTCCTGCTCGCTACTACTTCCCTGAAAAGAGTCGGCAATCTGCAGGCGCTATCCGTTGCTCCCTGGCATTGCCTCGAGTTCGCTCCTGGCAGAGTGAGAGCCATTCTCCACCCTAAACCCGGCTATGTGCCTAAGGTGCCTACAAATATGGCACGGTCTATTAATCTTTAGGCTTTCCATCCATTCACATCTATTATGCTGCGGACCAGCTGCTTGTGTGTTTTGGGTCACCTGAGAAGGGTTCCCCGCCTCTAAACAAACTATTAGCAGATGGATAGCAGAGACCATTTCTTCAGCGTACGAGGCGCGCAATCTGCCTTCGCCTCTCCTGATAAGAGCCCTCTCAACTAGAGGAGTGGCATCCTCTAAAGCAGGGGTTTCCCTTTCCCTGGGCCTCCCCACACATCCTCATCAGACATTACAGTCTGGATATGCCCTCTACACCGGGTTCACAAGTTCTTTCGTCTTGAGTGTGTCAGATTGCTTCACATCAGGGCGTATTCTCTCAGTGTGGCGCAGTGGGCATTTCGTTCCCCAACGTGTCGATTGTCGACGCAGCACGAGTTCCCTCGAAAGGGAACGTCTCGGGTTACGACTGTAACCTGAGAAGGGAACGAGACGGTGCATCCCTCGACCACACTTCCTGCGCCCCTGAGAACAACTTGCTTCGACCAATCAGAAGCTGACGCTGTTATGTTCCGGTGTCCTTTTATAGCTTCCGCATCACCATCACATGCGATGTCACGGGTGACGTCATGACGCAACACCAATCAAGATTGGACTAATTCCACACAGGCTTCAGATGCGTCACACTGAAGGCGTTCCCCAATGTGTCGATTCTCGACGCAGCGTCTCGTTCCCTGGGTTACAGTCGTAACCCGAGACGTTTTCTACCCAAATGCCTGTTGGGATTTTTTTGGTGGTTATTTTTTCCAGTTTTTGGTAGCTTTTGTGTAAACACTGGTTAAACTGTATTTTGCCAGTTTTAACAGGATTTAAGTTTATATAAAAATATTAACCCATGTATGATTTAAAAATTGTCCTTTCATAGTGGAAAAAGTTTATTTAGATTATTAAAATGTTCTTCATACTAAGAAAAAATTGCTCTTTTAAGAACTGATCACTGAAAGGTTATTTGGTAAACCAAAATGGATCTATGGCATCTCTGTGAAATAAACATTTTTAAAACTCATCTGTGACATAAATAACACTGCTGGTTTTGTGCATATTTGTGCACATTCAGCCCATCATTTGTTTTAGTGCAGCAATAGAAGTTACATGATCACCTTTCAGGATTAAAGTCCAGATGGCTTATTTGAATTTTATTTGTTTGTCTGTGTTTTTGCAGCTGATTTGGGAAGTCTGTGTAAACCTAAAGGCATTTGTACACAGCAGAAAACACCCTGAACATCTGTGCTGAACACAATGAGGATGATGATGATCACCAGTCGTGACTTTTTTGCCTTTCTAAGTCTCTTTTTGAAAAGTTTTTTTTGGGATTAACTAAAATGTGTAACTATATTCTCTGTATTCAAAATTATGGAGATGGAAGGGAGGAGAGACAAGATGATCATGAGATGCAAATTTAAATGTGTTGTCCTCCATAAAACATAAAACTAACACTCTCCATCCCTAAAAGAAAGACCAACGCCTTCAATCAACCATGAAGAAGCTCTTCAAGTCCCTGTGGATGTTACTGGGTAAAGTACAACATTCATGATCTGCTATTATACTAGGATGGAGATTTGTAGTTTAGTTTACACTCATTTGTCTTTACTGTGGATTTATAGTACTATTACATTTAGTAATAGTATTACACATGTGAATATACAGTAAACTGTAAAATATTCCTGTGATCAAAGCTGAATTTTCAGCATCATCACTCCAGTCTTCAGTGTCACATGATCCTTCAGAATCACTCTAATATGATGATTCGATGCTCAAGGAACATATATGATTATTATCAATGCTGAAAACAGTTGTGCTTCTTCAGATTTTTGTGGATATAGTCATACATATTTTTTCAGAATTAATTGAATAGAAAGTTCAAAAGAACTGCATTTATTTGAAATAAAAATCTGGTGTAGCATTACAAATGTATTTACTGTCACTTTCGATCAATTTCATGAATTCTTGCTAAATAAAGTATGAAGTTCTTCATTTCAAATTCAAATCAGATTCCAAACTTTTGAAGCGTTGCTTGTCACTTGTTCTCTAGGATGGTATTTCTCAGTTTATTTTTAGATACTAACCAAATCTTATGTTGAATAGATGCTCATTTGTGTATGTATAGTTTGACAGCCGACTTGATTATTGTGTTTGTCAGGTAGTGATTCCACAGAAATGTGTTCTTGTCTGACGTTAAATTCAAACAGTCTGTTCGTTGCAGATTATTATTATTATTGTGTCAGTAGTTTCCTTCAACATGATCATTATACAGATCAATGTTTTATGTTTCCATTATCATTCGGACTATTTTGTGTTAGTGACAATATCAAAGTAAATGAACTACAAATCTCAAGTTCAAGTTACTTTATTTGTACCCGAAGGTACATTTTGTTTGCAGTATAGAGTCCTCATACACACATATGGAAAAACAAAGGGAACACATATCACACATCATTCAAACTTAAGACAGTAAAAATTCAGAAATGACAAATTGAATTTAAATAAAAAATAAAATAGATATTAAATTTCAGAATGTGATTCAACAAATCCTGGTTCTCTGACACTCACTTAAATATTGATTCCACAGGGTTTGTATTGGTTGTGAAAAGAGCAAATGGACAAGAAGGTGAGAACCATTCTTATTTTTTAACCTTCGTTTTTTTTTTTTTCTGTTTGACAAAAATGTTGCCTTTGTCTTTGAAAACTTTTCCAGAGAATGCAGCACTTTGGGGCAAAACCACTCAGTCATCAGTTTATGCAGGCTCTATCCCTGAACTTGCGCTTGATGGTTTGCTCGGCAGCTGGACTCACACTAACACAGAGACCAACCCGTGGTGGAGAGTGGATCTACTGAAGGTATACAGCGTGAACAGAGTGACCATCACTAACAGAATCAGCTTGTCTTCGAGGATAAACGGGGCTGTGATTCGCGTCGGGAACTTCCCTGACATTTACAGCAACACCATGTGAGGCTTCCTTTGACTGTTTTAATTAATGTGTCTGCAGATGAACAGAAACTGATAACAGATTATCTCTCTGTCTGTAGATGTGGTGTAATTTCTAGTCTTGCGGCCAGCGCTACGGCCACTTTCTCATGCGACGGGATGGTGGGACGTTACATGGTTGTTCATATTCCTGGAAATCAGAAGATTCTTAGTCTTTCTGAAGTTGGAGTCTATGGGTATTTGGCAGGTAATTCATTGTTGAATAGCACTTCTCAATATTGAAATTAACAAATCATTTTTATTCCACAGCTCTCTGAAATTCTTGAACCTGATTGGTCAGTCAAGACATAACCAGTGTTTGGAATAATGCCATTTAAAAGAACGGTGTTAGGTAACAACGTTATTTTTTCAGGAACTGGGTAATCTAACTAATTACTTTTCCCGTCGTTACATGCCGTTAACGTTACTGGACGTTAAATGTGGTGCGCTACCACAGGCGTCAGTTTGGTTTAAAATGTGTTGGGGACAGAGACGCATTCCGAAGTGCATTTTCAGAAGTGCTGGGTACAAACTTGTCAAACTGTGCAGACTCTCTGCTCAACCCGTAAGTAGATCCATCGATCCGCAAATGTTGTTTGAGTTCTTTAATGGTCTGGTGGTAGATCTTTTGCCAAGCGTTTCAGAGGTTACGGGTTGTAAAGCCTAGTTTTTTTTTTCTCTCATCAAAACTGAATATGGCCATCACTGGTTACAGTCTATATCAAGCAGGGACACGTTTGTGTGCATTTTATTTTGTGATTTCACCGGAATGAATAGAAAGTCTCCACAACGGCGATAGATTGAAGAGCGCGTCCGAGTGAAGACTGCGCGAGCCACAAGAGAACACTGTATCCATGACACTGATAGCAGCGGCAACGAGCGCTCAGCTTGATTTAAAAAACAACGCATTTTAGCGCTAGATCTCTTATTTAATATATAACAAAATGAATGCTCTGCTAGTTAAATGGAGATGTTTTATTTATTTGTATTAGGTACATCCGTGCCTCAATGTTTCAAAAAATGACTCATGACGAAATCTGGTGGGGACGCCTAAGCGATTATGATTGGCTAAGGCAGAGTCATGTTTCATGGTGGCCAATCAGAGCCCGTGTTTTTACACACATGCCAGCACACGCGCCACACACATACACAACAGCTAAACAGAGATTCGATGAAGCAGCAGATTTAATTTGCTAGAGGTAAATGCACTTTATATGGTGTAACTGTTTACTTATCTTACAAAGATAATACTTGAAGTGCAGGATAAACCTCTTGCTGTCTGTCGATGTGCAATAAATATCGGAAGGTATGTACAAACACCTGTCTGTTCTTGTTACAGTGTTGGTTTATGTTCCCTGGTGTCCACTAGAGGTCCTCTTCCCCCACTTAGGAACTGCATTCTCCACAATCCTTGTCTGCGCTCATCACTGGTCATTGCACTCAGCTGTTCCCCATCATGATTGTTAGTTTCTGTGTGTAGAAATACCCTGCCTGTTTAGTGTTTGTTACGGAGGCCTTGTTATTCGTCACACCACTTCTGAGTTCTTGTTTTGGTTCTTGTTTTGGTTCTTGTTTATGAATTGCTAATATTGATTTTGACCCTTGCCTGGACTGGTTTATGATTATGGACACCCATTAAACTGCTTTTGGATCTATCCCTGTTTCCTGTGTGTGGTATGGTGACAGTTCTACTTATTTCAACTGACCTGTGAAAACTGAATTCTTTGACATATAGCAACTTTTTTTGATCGCAAACAAATTTACTAAACTACTATTCAAACAACAGCTACAAATTAAAAATGAAGGAAGATCCCATGCCTAAGTTGGGTATAGGCTATAGAACAATCAGCTTCACCAAACGGCCGAACGCGCTCTTTTAACACGTACATTTAAAAGGATGGAAGGATGGATTTTTTTTGCTTCAAGTGATAGGCTAGGACTAGGTGAGTCAACTTATTTTCTTGATGTATGTGTCGTTTTGTATAAATATTCTGTCTATTAGAGATAAAAAACAACAACACTTTAAAGCAGTTAAAAAATATGACCGCTAAAATTTTGTCTGCCTCTTACCCACCACCCGCCTCTGCTCAAAGCTGCTTTACCAGGAACTGTTTTTCTTTGTGGAAGCTTTGCGTTTAATGAGTGATATAAAGATATATATCTCATATATTTGCAGCAGAGATAGAAGTTTTGATAAGCTCGGTAGAAAGGGAAAGGCTTTTCTTTTCACCTTAGCTCACTCAAAGACAGAAAGTGGGCAAAAGTTGAAGTCAAAAATAAAGATGAGTCAAGACAGGTTTTTATTAATTTTCTAGGAAATCGGGCAGTAGGAGGAGCTACTACACAGTCGTCAACATCTGGGAGCTGGTTTGCTGGAAAGGCCATTGATGGTAATCGAGGTCTCCAGCAGTTGTACACGGGATGCTCCTCAACCCTTAATGAGACTAACCCGTGGTGGAGGCTGGATCTGCGTGATGTGTACCGAGTTAGTAAAGTGGTCGTCACTAACAGACGAGACTGCTGTGTAGAACGAATAAACGGAGCGGAGATTCACATCGGGAACTCTTTGGAGAACAACGGCAACAACAATCCCATGTGAGTCTCTTGAGGTTGAAAGTACATGAGAGCTTGAGTACAAATGAGAAGGATTAATGTGAATGTGAAGATTATATAACATTATCTTTATCTCCATCTGTTTCTCTCTCTGTCTGTAGATGTGCTGTTATTCCTGCTATTCCAGCAGGCGAGTCCTACAACTACTCATGTGATGGGATGGACGGACGTTATGTGATTGTTCATATTCCTGGAGATCAGAAGGTTCTTACTCTTTGTGAAGTTGAAATCTACGGGTATTTGGTAATTCATTGTTGTACAGCATCATATTCAATAAATTATACCATATCAAGGGCGCAGATTTGGTTTGAAGTGTAAATCATTTTAGCAGAATCCTGGCATATTCTCCCCTGAGATTTTTTGTTTTGCTAAACGTTTATTTGTGGAAGCGCCCAGATAGCAACATTGTGTCAGCCCAGATCCGGCCCACATCTGGCACATGTGGAATGATGATCTGGCCCACATACCGCGTGGACTGATGGTACTTGAGTGGACCATTTCTGTTTGCCAGATCTAGGCCACAACCCAGCAAACACATTTACGTTGTGGCAACGTCGGTGGCTCGTTGCATTTCTGCTATGGCAACGTCGCGGTCTACGTGCTCGCAATATTGTAACAACGTAGAATTGTAAGACGCGACAGGGCTTCAGCAATGTTGTTACCCGACATTCAGCAACTGAGAGACATTTCTGTTGACATTTTTTTTTGTTCATGCTAGATAGGCCTATAGATATCCCCCATTTAGCATTTTATGATTTGAGGTTAATTTTTAATTAGTCAGATGTTAGATAATTATATATGCCTACTTTTTAAATATTGTTTATCCTTATTATTATTTAATGGGACTTTCAGTAAATTAGCCTAATCATAATCAACACCTGCAAGTGTACACTTTGAAGAGTAAAAATGACAGAAGGTTACGTTAATTCAACTTTATTTAAACTGCATATGGTAATCAAATTGCACTTCCAAAAGTCACAAATGAGGCTCACCAGTGTTTTTTTGAAGGCGTACAGAGAACACCTCCATTTCCATTCCACTTTGCTACTTTTCCATTGTTTTTCATAGATATTTAATAGTTGTGCATCTTTCTGAAGACTACAAAGAAAGGGGGACCATACATTTTCAAATTCAGCCTCTTTGCCATTGGTAACATTAATAATTTAAAACATCTTAGTGTACCTTTGATCCACTTTTGGAAGTTTATCTTTTATTCACACAGCAAGTATACATTTCTTCAATCGGCCTGTATTTCGATCTTTCAACGCAGGCCACAACAACTTCGCCAGGCTTTTCGGTCCCTGGCCAGACCCATCCAGTCTTTGTCGATGTCTTGCCTGAGCGAGTCGCGCCAACGGTTTGCGGGGCAGTCAAGCGGTCTTTTGATATCGAGAGGCAGCCATTTGGTCATGGCCCGCATCCATCGCCTGTCCGACCTCCTGGCCACGTGTCCGGCCCAGCGCTCCTAAGCCTGTTCTTCCTCAGTACCTCGTTGCTGATGTGGTCCGTCCTCTTGAGAACCAAGACTGTGAAGTATACATTTAGAAGCTAAAAATAATAATTTGCTTGCCAGCTTGACCTGGGGAACTGATAGTTCAATGTCCTCATTACCCTTTCCTAAAATAATAAAAAAAAAAAAAACACATGGATCTTTAAAGCTCCAGTCCGTAACTTTTTTAAGTTAAAAATAATCCAAAATAATTATATTAAAAAAAAACTTATTCTGCCAGTGGTCAAAACTATCTGCCTGCCATAGCTAGATTCAAAACGGTTAGCTTGTAATAATGATTTTAATTCCAGTGGTACTGGTGGGTTTCCGCGGGAAATTCGAGCATGTCTTTGCGTCATGACGTCACACCCGTACACATAAAGAAGGAGTTTCGGCTAGCCGGCTATACTGCGCGTGACGAGATGTTTAGATGTATAGGCTTTTCTCGCAGCACTTTACATAATTAAACTTATGGCATCCAGAAAGATCCAAACAACAATCATCAGTGTCAACTGGAGATTCAGCAGTTATAAAACCCAAAAGACTTCGTACTTCGGATTTAAGGTGGCTAGAGAAAGAGAAAGAAACCGTCTCATGCGAACACAAGGATTTAAACATCGGCGGGGCTTTTGAAAAGTGCGTGAACTTCGTGTTTTGAAGGGGTTCAAAACGGAAGAAGAGACGGCTTTTTCTGCTGAACAAGTAAGACATTTCAATAGTTCAATCGTGTAACAGTACGTTTTCTTAATTCACAGTTATGGAGTTTCCTGTGTTGTGCCTTTCTCGTTTTGCTATTATGGAGAATATGAATTCTGAACTACGCAGGTGCTAACCATAAAACACATTAAATTTAACATTAGTCACGCAATGCTGATGTTGTTAACATGACCAATTTGAGAACAAAGTAGGCTATAATTTGCACGGTTGCTGTAAATCGCGTTGATTAAATCTAACGAAGCTTATCATGTCGAATGCTTTTTCCCCCTTAGTTGGTCAGAACAAAAATGGATTTTACTTACTTGTTCAGAAGACATTTTCTTATGAAAATTCTTATGTTGATCAAACTTTCAAAAAGTGAATCTGTGATTCTGTATGCCAGTATCCACACAGCGCGGTGACTGACAGCAGCACTCGCCTCAAAGCACTGTGTTCATCCGCGCTGTTTCATGCCGATTTACAACCCACGTAAACAGGGCCGGCGCTAGCCATTTGGGTGCCCTAAGCACAAATGCTTGGTGGTGCCCCCCACCCAAGGAATAACAACCATTCAGAATTTCTTAGTCTGATGAAGCACAATATAATAATTCTGTACATAATTTGTAGGGCTGGGAAAAGATTAATCGCGATTAATCGCATCCAAAATAAAAGTTTGTGTCTACATGAATGATAAATGTGTGTGTACTGTGTAAAATTATTTTGTATATATAAATACACATTTGCATGTATGTATTTAAGAAATATTTATTTATATATAAAATATTTAAATGTATATATAATATAAATTATATATAAATATATACAGTATATACATGCAAATATTTCTTAAATATATACGTGGCATGTGTGTGTATTTATATATACAAAATAATTATACACAGCACACACACATATATCATGTAGACACAAACTTTTATTTTGGATGCGATTAATCTTTTCCCAGCCCTAATAATTTGACAACTCTGTGAATATGAAAATATACAAACACTGAGATTGTGTTTTTTTTTATTTTTTTATTGCAGTTTCACCAACAGATGTCGCTCTTGGGCCTTGGCCTATGAACCTCTTGAAAATGACCGCATTATCCGCATAGAACAACAACGAAAAAACGTATCTAAGTGGTCTTCCTTTTCTTCTCAAACAAACTAACTGCATCTTAAACAGCCCAAGTTTCAAAATTTCCCGGGGGAGAAACCCCAGGACCCCCGTTAAAATAAAAGATTCAACATGCAGGGCTAAAAAAGCCCCGGATCATTTCATTTGCACTACTAGCGACGCCCCCTGGACATGCATACACGACGCAAGGGCGCCCGCGCTACAAAACTAACATTTTTATTTAAAACATTGTCTTACCTGCAAGCGACGCGCGAGTATCATCCCGCTGTCTATTCTTTTTACTTTTTCCCCCCCCCCGACTCTTGGTGCCTTTTCGAGGCCATGTCTGAGGTCGGTGTCTGCCAAATTTGACATTGATTGAGGCATAATCGAACAGACCACTGGGAGGTGTGGAAGGGGGGCACCAGAGGGAGACTGGCACAGGAGATTCACCTTTTTCTCGACTAATTTGGTCTAGGCCTGTATTATTTTTGTATTGCTTTTGTATATTAACATGCTTTAGACATATTTTATTTGTTATTTATACTAGTAGCCTATTATGATGATTTTTCACGACCCAGATTTTTTGGTGCCCCCCCAAGCACTTGGTGCCCTACGCGCAGTGCGTGATGTGCGTATGCGGAGCGCCGGCCCTGCACGTAAAGATGATAATTCCGCGAATCACTGCAGTTACAGATTTCGAACAGAGAGATGGCGACAAAGAGGAAAAGTTCCGGACTGCAGCTTTAACAATAGTGCAATTTAATATACAGGCAAGCTTTTCTTTAGTCTTGTCCCAAAACTGGCTCATCAACGGGCAGAACCAATAATTGTAGGCAACGCCTTCCCCCAGACGACCTCTCCTGGTCACCTAATTTAGATTAGGAAGGACGCAGAAATGCACTGGCCGGCGCATGTTTTTGATGAGGCTGATCCACCTAGGTCCACAACTATACCATCCCAACAACTACTACTATGATGCTTAAGCTATAATCTTTAATGGCTTCTTATTTTCAGAATCAAGCCACTGGCCGTACCCGACTCACTCAGATCCCATTTTGCAAGTCGGAAATCCTGACCGAGCCCATCCCCCAAAAAATTGTATTCATGAATCCATGTTTGCTTCAAGAGCCAGGACAGCCCCTATGCTTTATTAATAAAAAGGCCAAGAGATACTCTTAAGGCAATTAATCTAATACTACTCATCCCAAGAACACAACTTCAGTAGTGTACCTCAGGATCATTGAGTGTTTCGGCTCTTTAAACACTAGACACCCTCCTCCGAGGCGGCCAGCCCAAGGGGATCAATCCTGGGCCCAAATACCTCTAAAACTTTCCAAGTCAACCACTAAAAAAACTGCCAACCTATTGATAATCATTACTGCAAGGTGCCCCTATACCAAACCCAACATCCTCAACAAGATTAACCCAAACCCCCTAATGCTAATCATCGATAAAAGACTGGGTACCAGTTATGGCCCTTCAACCCTGGCCCACCTTCTCTGCGTGCTGTCCAAGTGGACCCAGAGAGGTTGGATACTCACCTCCCTAACCAAGTACCCCTTCGTTAACACCGCAAGGTATCCCGGGGCACCCGAAGAGGGCCTGTGTCACGAAGTTCAAATTGGCGGGTACAAGTGCCCAATCGGCCAAAACGAGTACCAAGCTTCTACCATCCGTCACCTCTAAGTAAATGTACACCTAAATAGACGTCACACTTACCAGTGCAACCGCAAGGTGACATAAACCTTAACAATTTCCAAGCCACCCAATTCACCTATCTAAATGCACCTGCCATCACCACCCTGGTAACACCATTTACCCACAATCCTCAGTAATTCCAAACATCGCTCCATCGTTGTTCCCACGTGAATCTTGGCTCCCATGAATCCATCCCGATCCATCGTAGTTTCCTTCCCTATGCTCCTCGATTTTTCGATATTTTAGTCACCATCTAAGAGTATCCTGTTATTTTTACCTAACCATCTAATCCCTGATTAAATATCCTCCAACAATTTACCAGAATCAAAACTGGTCTCTAATCCGGCCTAGAACCCGGATCCCTCCCTCTCCCACTAACCACACCTAACCACTGCACCACTCTGTCTACCAACCCGCCCTCTAAATATGCCACTCTAGATAAACTAATCAAGAAAGAAGAAAAATACTAAACCATCTGGTCTCAAACCGGGTCCTCCCGTCTCTGATACACCAATCCTATCCACTCCAACATCTGTCCTTTAATTCCTTTAGGTTTAGGCATTTTAAAATAATTTAACCCTAATCCCCTGTAAGGGGTAGGTTGAAGTGCTTATGCAGGTACAGAGCTAGTCTAATTATGTCCTAATTAAATCTAATAAGGATTCAAATTTGGATTCTACTCAGGTAAGTTTTATAGAATCCAACAAATGATACCTCACAATCTGATTTACACCAATTTTTTTTATTTCAGATTAACCTGTTAAGCTTCAAGCCCACTTTTGAAAAATCCCCAGAAATGACATACCCAAACTTAAACAGATACAGTTCATGAACCCTTTGCACTAAAAGCACAAGTATGATCTCATTTGAAAGCTGACACCTGGTTGTTTATTGTAAATGTAGAATTAATTATTGTCATAATGAAAAAAACAATTTTAAATAGCTTCAAAGTTTTGTAAAGTTATTAGAAATTTATTTTTATGAAACATCTTCATGAAAATAAAATTGAAGTTGGCCCTGGAGCAATCTAGAAATGCACTGCAGCTAAAGCCACATGTCTGACCATTTTATATTTAAAATCTGAAAATGATAAGTATAAAGCTCTGTATTTAGTTCAATGTTTTTCAAGATCATGTCAAATTACTTTATTTTGATTAGACTCTATTAGCAAACTGATGTTTAGTCATCTTCTGAGTCATCTATTCAGTCTATTGTCTCTATTGTTTTGTATTGCCTCATTCAGTCTCAGTCTCCCCTGCACACATTTACACCTCTCCAGACTGGTTATTATGGCTCTAAATATGCATTTCTTTTGTCTGCATTATAGCTACTAAAGACTGGCTATTCACAAGCTATTCATAGGGTTTCAAACCCTAATTTCTTTTATCAAAGTTCTCACTAAATATTTGAAACTGGTATCAAATGCACTGAAACATTTCAGTAAGCATTCCTATTTAGAAAAAAATCATAAAACAATAACTGCTCGTGGCAGGTGCGCCTGGGCTCGCTAGCATGTTAGCTTAGCACACCATCAATACACGACCATTTATGAGATTAAAACTATGTTTGCGCTCCAAACTCACTATATAACGCAAGTCTAGTGTTTTAAATAATCTTCTGTGATCTAACTTGGCTTCAGATAAAAAAAAAATCAGACAGAAAATGTATTATTTAGTGTTCTGAACGATGATGAAATCTATATCGATTAGCATTACATTATAAATATAATCTATTATTATGAAATACCTGGCATGGCTTGAAGAACACAGGTAACTCAAATATCATTGCAATCATGTTTATTGTCTTCAAAACATCTTTATCTGCATGTTACAGCGATCTCTGTACTTTCTGTATCACTCAGTGACGTCCTGGAATGTCACATGACTATGGGTCTTCTTCATGATCCATATATGGACTTTTATTGGACATAATAGCGCCCCCATGCTATTGGTATGAATGGAAAACACAGCACATCTCAGTAAGAAGCGATCATTATGATTACATCGACGCATTTGGGTATAAATTCAATAAATATTATTCCTGTCTATAGAAATATGATGTGAATCTATGAGAATATATCAATATTTCTCCACATCTGCACATTGTTGAGCTAAAAGCCCTCAGGGACGTTGTTTTGTGAATCGCTATCATGACGACAGCACGGAGTGTTTTTTATGAATGGACCAGCTGACGCTCATAATTCATATTAAAGGTATCGACTCATTTTTTTCATTTCATAACTCCTGACACAAATTAAGACATAACTGTCACTATAAGTTTCTCAGAATACAATAGTGGTCAAATACTGAATCTTGAGTCTTATATCTTTTTAATGATGTATAGTTTGTCAAGGTATAACATTAAATCTGATAGTATATTTGAACTAAATAAAAAAAAAAAACGCTTCAGTGCGCCGACGCTCTGGAGAAGGTTAAGAGGTTTTAAGGCCTTTTGGAAACCATATGCCCAGTCTCCTGATCCAATGCCTTTCCCTCCTCAATCTATCCCCCTTAACCCAATCCGGATAATGCTCCAGCCCGAAAATCTTCAGATTATTAATCCCATGTTTCCGGAAGTGAGGTACTACATGTCCTTTCCGCTGGGTCCCTTTCCTCACTGTATACCTGTAGGCCCACATCCTTGTGAGAATTGAATTCTTAGTTTCCCCCACATACCTCTTCCCACATCCGGCATACCTAATCAGATACACACAATTTTTCCGGTTAAGGGGAATAGCCTGCGTTACTCTGTGTACTGTCCTCTGCCTCCCCCTCACAAAGGTGTCCTGGGTCTTCCTTGGAGTTTTACTGCGTGTTGGACCCATCTTACTGTGCACCAAGATATCTCCCAAGTTCTTAACCCTCTTGTAGGCTGCCACATTCCTGTATCTGCTGCCTAATATCTCTTCTTGTGATAATCTGTCTAAATTCTTCCTGAGCCCCGCCGCTAAAGCTTTGGCTGTTTTCGAGAATCGTAAGATGACCGGAAGAATTCTTTTGTGCGGGATCTTGGTTGTTTTCTCACTCGTTTCTCTCTCCTCTTTTGCCACTTTCCTCAGGAAGCACCGAGAGTAACCCCTTCCTCTGAGAGCCTCCATCAGAATTTTAGTAGCTTCTACTCGGTCCACCTCCCTAATGCAGATCCTCTGGAACCTCAGGAGCTGGGCCTTCACTACCCCTCTAAAACGTGACGATCATGATGACTGTGACGATGCAACAGTGCGTGGGTGTTTGTGGGTTTAAAATAAACCGTAGCATCCAGCCTCCCGGTGTCTGCAAATTCTGGACCCTTATATGTGGTTGTATCCAGGAAATCGATCCAATCCGACTTTAGCTCCCATTTCGACCGGATGGAAGGATGATGTGAATTCAGAATACCAATAAACCCCAACCAGTCCTCTTCTGTCCCCTCCCATACTCCCCATACATCATCCAGATAGCGAAAATATTGGGCGGGCAGAATTTTACATTTAGGAAAAACGGACTCCTCCCATTCAGCCATATAAATGTTGGCTGGAGCAAACCTCTTGCCCATGGCTGTCCCTTTGATCTGGAGGAAATGTTGGCCATTCAATTCAAAGTCGTTCCGGGTCAAGCTCAACTCCAGGAGCCTCAACAAACATCCGTCCGGTGTTCCTTCCTCCGGGTAACGCCGAAAGGTATTTTTAACGGCCTCAAGCCCTCTCTCTGTTTCTATATCAGTATGTATACTTTCGACATCCATGGTCTAGCCCCGGGACTGATCTTAATGTTCCTAATCTTCTCCAGAAAATCATAAGTATCCTTAATATAACTGCGGTGTTTAGTGGAGAGCGGATTTAAGTGATGTGTAATGAATTACGCCACCCCATAGCTCTCACTCCCGCAGTCTGAGACTATTGGCCTCCCAGGCGGGACATCAGGGAAAGGCCAAGTTGTCCTGTCCTTGTGTACTTTAGGTAAGAGATAGAATCTTCTCTCTCTAGGTATATCCAGTCCCCTAATGTACTCTACCTGCTTTTTACTGAGGATCCCTTTCCTTAACAGCTTCTCCAATTCATCTCTGATCCGCTCAACTGATTCCGGATAAATGGGTTTATCCAAACTCTTGTAGAATTCTTGATCCTCCAGTTGTCTCATTGCCTCCCTGATGTATTGCTCTTTATCCATCAGGACCACCATGCTCCCCTTATCCGCCGGTTTGATTATAATGCTCCTATCCCTTCTCAAACATTTGAGTGCCCGCCATTCCTCCTTCGAAAGGTTCCAATCTTCTCCAAGCTCCTTAATCCCTTTCATAGTCTTATGATCCTCTTCTATAATATCCTGGACCACTTTTGGGATCTGATAATCTTTCGGCTCCCATCCTGAGCTAGCTGTAAATGGAGCCCTCCGTCCTTCCCCCTCATCTTCCTCAATAAAGGCTGCCAGCTTCAACCTGTGATGGTACTCCGTGAGCCCCGCCTCTGCCTCTAGCCGATTCCAGGCAGTCCCTTCCATCCCTGTGCCCTTAGGAACAAACGACAACCCCCTCTGTAACACCAAGATCTCTCCTCTACTTAATGTTCTAGTATGGGAGAGGTTCACCACAGTCGCATGCCCCTGCATGGCTGGGTGCCCCTCCCCAACTAGTTTAAATGGGCTAGCCAGTGTTGGAACATTGCTCGGCCTGTACTCCCTGTCCAGTGGGTCAAATCCAGCCTTGTTCTGAAGTCTTGGCCAGAGAGGGCCGCCATGGCCTTGCCGGTGCGAGTGATGTGGGCATTGATCTGGTTAAGTGTTATGATCTGATTCCTTGGTAAGTATCTGTGATAATTAATAATGGGAATCAAAATCTGTGCATTAGGGAAAGAATGCCTGCCTGCAGGGTCCTACTAATCCAGGTCTCTACCCAACCAACAGAAGTAGAGGTCCTATCATTTATGCCAAAAGACAACACCACTTTGGTGACCCAGTCCGTCGTAGGGGTCTTATTACGGACAATCTCATGTGCATGCAGCCAACGTGCCCCCGGATAGCACACCACCTGAATCCTCCTATCACCTGTCCTTGGTTACGGTTAGAGTTAGGGCTAGGGCTACTCTAACCCTAACCCTACATTTACCAGTGTGCCCTAAATGTAAGAATTGGACTCTGGCTATTTAGGTGTCAATTTTGGTGTACATTTTTCCCACAAATCTGAAAAAGTTGGCCACCCTTAATTTTGTTCCAGGCCTGAGAACAGTGTGAAATGATCTAGATCGGTGGATGGATCTTCTAATTTCTTGGATAGGCAGAATAAACTTGAATGTACAGAATAAACTTGGCAGAATCAAAATGAATGCAGTTCCTTCAGTAGATTGCTGTATCCTTTACGCCTAAATAGGCAAAGCCCTTAGGAGACTACTTGAAGAGGAACATTGAAGATGGGACTGAGTCTCCCCCACTTCCCACGCAGACTTGCCTCTGACTTACTAAAATTAATCACGTAGCTTGAAAAACAGCTGAAACTACTGATCAAATCCATCAGGGCTGGCACCGACAATTCTATATCAGAAAGAAATAAAGGAATATGAGTAGTGCAACCAATTTGAATTCCCTTAATTTTTTGGCTAAGAGATACTGCTAAAGGTTCCAGGGATAGTGTGAAGAGCAAGGGTGACGAGGGGCAACACTGTCCTGGGCCGCACTTCAGATCAAATGGAGAAAAGCCTAAACCATTTGTGAGGACTGATTCTTGTGGTGCCCTATACTTTATTTCTAACCAATTCACATAGTTATCCCCACAATCAAACAAATACTTCCACTCCAAGTGGTCAAAAGCGTTTTTGAAAAATGACCATAGCTTTACATTAAGTCAGAAAACATTACTGTGCAATGCCAAAATGACTAATATTAAAATGTGAGTGTCTTTCAGTACTAAATCCGGTTTGATCTGGTGCTATGAGTTATGGCATATAAACCTCTAATCTTTTAGGAAGTATTTTGGATAAAACTTTAGCATCAACATGTATTAGAGATATTGGACAAAAAGAGAAGCAATCCATATAGGGCCTATCCTTTTTAAGATAAGTGAAATATTTGCATGATACAGTGAGGATGGGAGACATTCCAATTCAAAGGAGTGTGTAAACATTAAGAAGCTGATAAGTTGTCATGTCCCTGCATTTCTTTTAAAAATCTTGCACAAAGCCAAGTAGCCCTGGCGCTTTTAAACTTTTAAAATATAACTTTGCAGTTTCTCAATCTGTTTTGTATTGTTACAATGTCTGGAGTACATTTAAACAAGTGAAAACTACAGATTATACTTTCACATTTTTCTTACTTGAATGCGATGGGCTTTTTGTCATGATTCCAGTCTGTGTTCCCGTCTTGTTCCATGTTTAGCAGCTCCCCGTTATGTTTAATGTTTATTAGTCTCCCCAGGTGTTTCCTATTAGCCATGCCCTCTTGTTATCTTGTTTAGCCTGTCTGCCTCTGTATTTAAGCCCTGTGTCTAGTTTCAGTCTTTGACGTTTGTTGGTTGTTTTGTTCCCGAGTCTTGTTCCTGAGCCTAAGTCTATATTTGTGTAGTTTTGATTTTATTTAATAAAAGAATGCTGCACGTGGATCCTGCTTCCTCGTCTGCTTCAACTAATCGTGACACTTTTGCTTCAGGATGTTGGGCAGAACTTTGGCCTAAAACACTGTTCGTTTTCATCCATACTGAATACAGACTTGGAGGTTTTTCAGATTTATCTTTGGGGCGTGCTCTCCGTATTTATGATTCTTTGCAGCCTTTAGCCGATGCCTACAACTCGCTGGGTCCTTCACTGGAAACCCAAAGTAATTCTATCCCGCTAAATGTTTGCTCTTTAAAAGAATTTGAACAATGTAGGTCTACACCATTATGACTAAAAGTTTGCTGAGTAGTACTTACTATTAAAGCAAGGCCATATTTGACCCTGGTAAGAGTATCCATAGCATACTGGTGGGAGTGGCCTTGGACAGCAATATGCCCAGTGCATTATGGGTATTGAAGTTTTTCTACCTATGTGGCAAAGGGGAAGACAACAAATGTATTTTTTGTTCTCTCTTGTCAGCACTGATTTCAAAAATTAAATTGCCTTTATACTGCATAGGCAGCCACGTTTTATTGAAAGCCCATTTTGCCAGCAGTGCAGTACCGCTTTAAATCACATAATGGCATCTAAAACCTCCTGTTTAGAAGTCTGTTTACTAAGTATCTCCCTATCCTCCTCCAGTAAACATGCCAATAAAATGTTCTCCTGAAAGTTACTAATTTTAATTCCAGGGTTTGTGACATCCAATGAATACATTTTTTGATAGTAGTTTGCCATTGTTTTATTTATAGACCTAGTGTTCACCTGTAAAACACTGTTTGAATTTTTGGCTGCATTTACACTGCAAGTCTTAATGCACAGATCCGGTCTTTTGACCATATCTGATTTTTTTGGCCCGCCTATTTACATTTACCATATAGGACTGGAATCCGATATGTGGGTTTACATTAATGCCTGCTCAAAATTATTTTCGGTGATTGTTTTACTAAGCACATGATAGACCCAGGTTTGAATGGGTGTGCTATTAAAATTATTTATATAATTCATGTCAGGTGGTCATGATTATTTGCTAGCATGGACAATATAACAGCTGTCATGTTTCATGAATGTTTTGCAGCACAAAATCTGACGGGTCACATATATAGAGTCCGGAAATAATTTTTGTATCTACAGCCAAGATCTAGAACTCTGAAATGAAATAAAGTAGCGCTGTAATATATATATATATATATATATATATATATATATATATATATATATATATATATATATATATGGTTAACAATGAATTAACCAGAGAGAGAGAGTGAGCGGGTGCGCGCTCGTAACCTAATAGGGAAGCTTGTTGGTTTAATTACAGCAAAGTTATCACCTCATTGCTGAGGAATATAATGTAGCTTTCAGTAGTCAAGCTGTTTTATTTATAAAGTCACAGGCAGCTCCTGAATGTTTCTGAATGTATTTCCTTTACAAAGATACATATAAAGTTTCCACCTCTATTAAAAGCTGTGCATGTAATGTGCCCCATAATACCACATTAAAAAGCAATCTTTGTGAATAAAAGTGTCGTCCTCACCTTGCGGTAGCTTGAAATTCAAAGGGAAATCGGATATGCATGTTTAGACGGAGGCCGGATGTCGTATATGTATCTGATTTAAAACCACATTTGGAAGTGGCTCAGATCGGATGCGAAAAAAACACAAATCTCATGCGGATTTTTATGTTTACACGTGTGCAACAAATTCTGATCTGTGTCAGATGTGAGTGAAAGATCAGATTTGTGCCAGTGTAAACTCAGCCTTTAAGAGCTGCAATAATATTAGTGCTTGTTCTGTTTCACGACTTTGCTAGAAGACACCCTTACTAATTTCCCGATTCGTAAAGTCTTTGTCTTGCGTAAAATAAAGCAAATTCTGCCCTCGGAGTTAAAGGGATACTCCACTTTTTTTGGAAATAGGCTCATTTTACAACTCCCCCAGAGTTAAACTGTTGAGTTTTACCGTTTTTGAATCCATTCAGCCGATCTCCGGTTCTGGCGGTACCACTTTTAGCATAGCTTAGCATACATCATTGGAGTGGACAAGACCATTAGCATTTCTAAAAAAAAAAATGACCAAAGAGTTTCGATATTTTTCCTATTTAAAACTTGACTCTTCTGTAGTTACATCGTGCACTAAGACCGACGGAAAATGTAAAGTTGCGATTTTCTAGGCTGATATGGCTAGGAACTATACTCTCATTCCTGCGTAATAATCAAGAAACTTCACTGCCGTACCATGAGAGCAGCAGGCGTAATGATATGACGCAGCGCCTGAAAATAGGCCACCTTCCTTCAACACAACGGAACTATTTTCAGGCGCTACACAGTCGTCAACATCTGGGGACGGGTTTGCTGAAAAGGCTGTTGATCGAGGTCTCCAGCAGTTGTACACGGGATGCTCCTCAACCCTTAAAGGAACACTTCACCCATTTCAACATTAATCTTTATTGAAAGTGGGTCATATATGTAGTCGACATGTAAAAGAAATTTTGAATTTGGTGCCCTCTTGACCGAGAAAAGACAGAAAATAACTTTAGGGCGCATTTGTATGAAAGACAACAACTCCCACAATGCACCACATTGCACAGCTCCGCAAGCCACTCCCACTACTCCAGAACAGCGCAAACATCAGATAAATCACTCGTCTACAAGGCTAACGTGAGCTGCCACCAGAGTTAGAAATTCATTTCACACAAAATGTATAGTTAGTTGGCTGTGGCGAGCAGGACGAGGGACGTGAGAGCGGCGCGAGGCCGGTGGCGTGAGTGATAATGATCGACATCTGTAAGACGCACCGGTCTCTCTCGCGTCTCTCACCGAGGAGCGGACGCATAAAACGAGGAGCGACGACAGTCCAGATCGAGAGAGGAACAGGCCTGATTTTATGGTGTGTTTTGTTTCTGTTGTGTGTGGCCAGCAGTGAGGGGCTGCTGGCTTATACTTTTGTTTTGTATTTGTTTATTTTACTATTAAAATGTTTAAATGTTCGCCGATTCCCGTCTCATTCTTCCCACAACAACGAACCCCGTTACATTGGCAAACTCATTAGCGAATTACTCCTCGTTTGTATTTCTTTCTATATGGTGAATTATTGCATGATACCTGTATGTTCCAGTCAGAACAAATGCGGTGCGACACGAGGATGGTTCACATCACAACACAAACGTCCGTGTGCTCGTCTGATCCAGAGATTTCGTCCAGGAGAAATTGCGATCGTTGAAATTCTCTGCAGCAGATGGACTCTGTCCGTAGCGCACAGCGAGAGCACACGCACCAGCAGCCCGCCTCAGCTCGAGCCAGTCCGGGCTCCTCGTCCGCTTCAGTCCGCCTCAGCGCGAGCCAGTCCGGGCTCCTGTGCTCCTCCTCAGCCTCAGCTGCTCTTCACTATACTGCGGCTCGTAAAGATAGCCACGAACACCGGATTCGAGCAGCAGAATTTCAAAATCCTCTTCTTCCATATCATGTTTAGTTTCTTCCGTCATTGTCGTAACTTCCTATCTCCACAGCGCTTGTCAGCTTAGCTTCCAAACAAGATGGCTGATATTGCTTTCTGTATCTGCAAGTGAAGTCCCACCCACTGATCTGTGATAGGTCTGTAGCGTGAGTGAGTCCCACGCCCTGAATAAATGATGAGCTTGTGTTTGTAGTCTCTACACTTTTCAATGAAATGGGACTTCCTGCTTTTTATGACGCAAAATGACGATTTTTACGTCATAAAAAGCAGGAAGTAAAACACTTAAATCCTTATTTCTCCCATCTCAGGGAAAAATAAAGGAAAAATCCACGATCATTACAATATATGACTGGGTTTCTAACAATACAAAGCTTAATGCAAATGGGTGAAGTGTTCCTTTAATCAGACTAACCCGTGGTGGAGGCTGGATCTGCGACATATTTACAGAGTTAGTAAAGTGGTCGTCACTAACAGACGAGACTGCTGTGCAGAACGAATAAACAGAGCGGAGATTCGCATCGGGAACTCTTTGGAGAACAACGGCAGCAACAATCCCATGTGAGTCTCTTGAGTTTGAAAGAACATGAGAGCTTGAGTACAAATGTGAATTTGAATAAACGACAGTATCTTGATCTCCTTCATCTGTTTCTCTCTCTGTCTGTAGATGTGCTGTTATTCCTGCTATTACAGCAGGCGAGTCCTACAACTACTCATGTGGCGGGATGGAGGGACGTTATGTGAATCTGATCATTCCTGGAGACATGAAGATACTCACTCTCTGTGAGGTGAAGGTCTATGGAGAAGGTACATCACTCATATTGGTTTTTAATATCAGATAATAATAATGTCTTCACATCGTCATATATTTTTGTCAACAAGACACAGTGAGGAACAGGGAAATGTTTTAATAAATGCCAATGTGTAGGTTCCAATATTAATATTTCCTTGAATTCGAAGTTTTATGTATTTACATGTATGACTGTGTTTGTTTAGGTCCCTGTTTAAAAAGGTCATTTGTAAAAATGCAGTTTAACTCCGGCAATGATTTGACTGACCTTTCAATGAGAGAAAATGTCCTGAAACAGGTGAGAGAAAGAAACCAATTCAATCTTTATGATTACTGTGAGAAACATAGATATTGTATATTAGGCCAAATTATTCTCAAGTCATTTATTTTTTGCTGCATTTTATAGTAAACATAAAAAGGTTATTTATTGGCATTAATTATTCCATTAAGAACCTTTAACATTCATGGAATCTTTCCATTCCTCAAAATATACTTTATAGTGGTAAAATGCTATCAAAAGCTACTCTCAGTGCTACGCTGACAGCGCTATGGGAAAACATCTTTGTTTGACCTGTTGTGAAGCAAACACGCCAAGAACATGGCTTTAAATAACCTCTGATGATGATGTCATTAGAATGCACACTCGTGAAAGGCTATAAATAGACTTGAAACAGGTGAACTTTCAGGTTTCTTTTTCTTCAGAGAACCATATTGTGTGTGTGTGTGTGCTAAGCTCCCTATCTGTCCACTTTGTATGGAGTTAGAGTTACAGCTGTAAGTGAGCAGAAATTTCTCAATGTGAAAAAAAGAGAACATCTTGTCGTAAACAGTTATGAGATGCACGCCTCCGTGCTCATGGCCCATCCCTGACTATGATAAGCAATGAGCTCTGCTTTGAGTATTTGCATTTGAGCATGGCTAGTGCGAGCACTGCGAGTTGTTCTCCATTAAAGTGCTTTGTCCTCATCTCGGGTTTTTTTTTTCTCATATCGCGAGTCGATCTGGCTGAGGAGACGGGTCCTTCCCTTTCTCTCTCACTCTCTTCAGATCGTGACAGTCTGCTGCTGAAGAGCTATGGCGACAAATCAATGCCAATAATAACCGAGCGCACAACTGATGCTGGCGCGCGTGGTAAATGACTTCCCCACAACCTTTGGTGTTTTGGGCGGCGGTGGTTTCCAGCAAAATGTTGAATATTCTGTTGCTTCCTGCTATCTCTCAGGACACAGAACATTTAACATACCTCCCAAAAAGATGAAGTATCAAAACTAGTGCCCCTTTCAGAGACGTTGGCAGTGTGGAAACTCCTAACCCTCCTTGGGTTTTAAAACAGTAGAAAGGCGTTACAGAATACAGTTTGCTCACCGCCCTCTGTGTTTCAACGCCATGGTCTCCACTACCATGAAACTGGTGCAGATGCATTTGCTGTCACAAGACCTGCAAACTCTTTTGGGCAAAGGGGCCAAGTTCCCCTCTCAGAGAGAGAGTCAGGCTATTACAGTCTGTACTTTCTGGTTCCAAAAAAAATATGGGCATTGCATCCGATTTTAGATCTCTACAGTCTGATCTGTTCTCTCAGAACATACAAGTTCAAGATGCTAACGATCAAGATGATTGTGTCTTAGATCCAACACAACGATTGGTTTGTCACAACCAATCACAAGGACGCATGTTGTCATGTAGAAATTAATCAACTCCAGGACATCCGCACTTTAAATAGCATAGAAAGACTGGCTGATTTTGCCCTAAAGTTTTGATAACTTTAAGCCTTCCGCACATGAGACTGTTTCAGCTGTGGCTCAGAGACAGGGGATTTAGTCCAATGGCCAATCCATTAGAAATGATCAGCAGGCCCCATGCCCCGCTAATCTCAGGGTATTGGTGGCTTTCATATCGGGTTTGCCACACTCTGATTGACTGCTCCAGTCTCACTCTGATTGTCCTCCCGTCAGAGCAAAGATCCCTTTGTGGGTCTTGGCCATAGTCCTTGAGGAGCTAGTCGAGACCCCTTTTTGAACCATTAGAGTCAGCGCTTGACAAGCTTCTGTCTTCAGGGCTTTGGCAAGAGGCGCTCCCTTGCAAAAAGTATGTGATGTGACATGCTTCATGCCCCAATACGTTCTGGGTGCATCATACTAAACTCATCTATGGCTCCCAAAATGCATTGTAGCATTCAGCATGTCACCATTGTTGATATTCATACACTGATTGTTGATGTCTGAGTGAGTCTAGTTGATGCTGAAAATGCTTTAGTGGACAATGCAGAACTATAGGTTTGTTATAATTAATAGTACAAAATGTGTGCTTATCAAAAGGACAGACTCTGGATGACACCAGTGAAACAGACCACTATATGATGATTATATCTTTATCATCAAGTAAACAATATCATCTGACATTGGAGCTTGACGTCAAACAAACGACTTTCATTTTCAACCGAAACATGACGTCTGAGGGATGTTGGATTAGTTGGAGTTCAGCGTCACATTGACATCACATTGACATACTGTGCTTTTTGGGGAGGAATTTGTGAGTCTATCATCACATTCTGATCTAATAATTTCAGTATTAATGTTATTTTCAGTTGGGATCTGCTCTTGCTGATCGAGGATTCGCAGATGTGACACTGCGATGGACTCAAACTCCTAAACGGGTTATCCAGAAGGTGAAGGATGCTAAACGTGAGTCTGTTCTCTCAACTGTAAAATAACATATGAAATAAGCTGCACAAATGGAAATGATTTTAAAATGATTGTAATGCGTAATGAGCAAAAAAAATTCATTTACAGGTCCTTGTAGAACAGAAAATTCCCTTGAAATCAACAGTCTTCGACTCTCTAAATTCACATTCATATTGATCTGATTCTAAACACACAAAATTAAATATCTTCATAATTACGTGTTTTCAGTGTAAAGACTGTTAAAGTCCCCCTGTAGTCAATAACTGTATCCCTTAAAACTCATCTTTGATCACCAAAATGACATATTTAAGTTTTTTCCTTAAAAAATGTCTCATGCCTTAAAATATCTTGGCACCCTCGCCTCATTTAGTATACGCGGTTCAATGAATATGCAAATGAGCCCCGCCTCCACTCACTCCCTCAGCTCAGAGATCCACTGGTTGACGATCACACGTTGATCTGATTGGTTACAAGGTCGTTTGTGACGTCAGAAACACCAGCGATTTCAAACCGTGTGTTTGAGACTGTCTTTGGTTCACTGCAGTTTTAAGCAGAAAATACTCAGCAATGCTGTCGACTTATGAACTTACACATGGTTTGTCTTAAAGCATATTAAAAACACCACATAGACACAAAATTACAAGCTTCATTTTCACCACAGGGGGACTTTAAATCACTTCTGCTTCACCGTTTCTGTTGATTCAAACCTTTAAGAACCAGAAAACATTGTATAATGTCAACATATAGCATTAAAAAATATATAGTAATAAATATAACATTTTATAAAAGTTACAGTTGTAACCTAGATGTTCTGTGCCTAAGTTTCCTCTGGTTTCTCTGTGTTTCAGTTAGTCTCATAGGTTACAAATGGTTTGATTAAGTGGGCTCTGGTGTTTCATCTTTCTTTGATTGTTTTTCTCTGTTTTCTTAAGCCCGGTGTTTCTTTCAGTGCTTTGTCAGTTTTACTTAATGTTTTAAGTTGCTTGTTCTGTTTCTGAGTTCCTTCATTAATAAAAGGAAGACTGCTGCCTTTATATTCTTTTCTCCTCATTATTGCAACCCATTTGTTACAAATCTCTATGTATTATGAGTTTAATACTTTTTTTTATTAAATTCCCTGCTGTTTCATACTGTGCATATTTGGTAACATTCCTGTGGAGCTGAAATGATGATGGAGAACAGCGCATGTGTGACGAATAACTGTTGTTTTTATTTATTTGTTCATTTTATCCCCCATTTTTATGAGTGAGAAATGTGGTGGAATAGTTTGGAGTGGAACAGCGCAAAGCTTCTGGGTTGTACGCCACACGCATCACACACATGACCAGCGTCGGCCAATAGTGAGCCTGCGTGTGACGTACAACACAGAAGCGCTGCGCTGTTACACTACGTGAAATCTCGAGGCCCACAGAGAAGGAAATGAGTAGTTGAATAAAGTCTTTATTTTTGTTTGTTTTTTGCGCACAGAAAGTATTCTCGTCGCTTGATAAACTTAAGATTGAGCCACTGTAGTCACTCGGACTATTTTAACGATGTCTTTCATAACTTTTGGGCCGGCCAGTTTCGATCCCTTAAGAAGCCTATGGAGGAGTGATCCAGCTCTCAGATTTAATCAAAAATATCTTAATCTGTGTTCTGAAGATGAACGAAAGTCTTACGGGGTTAAACAACAAGTAATTACTGACAGAGTTTTCAGTTTGGGGTGAACTATCCCTTTAACTACCTATCCTAATGATATACGTAGGTATTTCAACACAACGTCTCTGTTCCCCCCATCAGGGAACGAGGGTTACACTAGTAACCAAAACGTTCTCAGAACTGTGTACTGTTTGTTTAAGTGCAGGTTAAAAGAGAATCAGTCACGACATCGTGCAGCAATCAGAAACATGTGAGGTTTGCACTTCGTATATATTCCCCACCGAACATCAGCCCATCATAGGCTCCGGTTTCAGTAACACACACCAGGGTTCGCTTATTTGAATTTTATTTGTTTGTCTGTGTTTTTGCAGCTGATTTGAGAAGTCTGTGTAAACTTAAAGGCATTTGTACACAGCAGAAAACACCCTGAACATCTGTGCTGAACACAATGATGATCATCACCAGTCATGACTTTTCTTGCCTTTCTCAGTCTGTTTGAAAGACTTTTATTTGAAACTTTTCACATTATAGTGAAAACAGAAATATTGTTAACACTTTATTTTGACGTTCTGTTGACTTTAGATGTCAACTACCTCTCATTAGAGTATTAGTAGACTGTCTGCTTAATATCTGCCAACACTTTATTGTGATGGTCCTCCAACAGACACTCTACTAACTATAAGTAACTTTGCAACTACATGCCAATTTATTCTAACCCTAACCCTACCAGTCTATTAATACTCTATACTCTAGTCAAGTCAAGTCACCTTTATTTATATAGCGCTTTTTACAATACATATTTAATCAAAGCAGCTTCACAGTGATAACATGAAAATAATACAACAAAGTTTGTTTCTAAAAGAAAATTGCGTCAATGTCCACCTGAAGTAAGGCAGATCAATAATATTGTTGAATATTAAATACTCTACTAATACTCTAATCAGAGCAGACATGTAAGTGCAATGTTACTTGTAGTCAACAGAATGTGTTAAAGGGACCATCAAAATAAAGTGGAACCAAAATACTGTGAAATATTACAATTTAAAATATTTGTTTTCTATATGAATATATTGTAAAACGTAGCCTAATTTATTCCTGTGATCAAAGCTGGATTTTCAGCATTATAACTCCAGTCTTCAGTCTCTCTGTGTTTTTACTGATTCCAAACTTTTGAAGGGTTGCTTGTCACTTGATCTCTAGGATAGTATTTCTCAGTTTATTTTTTAGATCTACTTTACTAATCAAATTGTATGTTGAATAGATGCTCATTTGTGTATGTAAATAGTTTGACAGCCGACTTGATGTTTGTGTTATCAGGTAGTGATTCCACAGAAACGTCAGTTTGTTGCAGATTATTTGTGTCTAGAGTTGCCTCCAACATTGTCAATAATTAGTGATTCATTATCATTCAGATGGTGTTTTATAAATTAGCAACAATATCAAAAAAATAAATATGTGAAAAAAAAAGGTCAATCATCAGTTCCCTCTGGGTTTTTACTCATTGGGGAAATGTGAATGGACGAGAAGGTAAGAATCATTAATTTTATTAACATCTATGATTTTTTTTTTTCAAACCTTATAAGCACATTGTGTCATTCATTTACGTCAAATAATTTCTGTATGCACCAATTCTCTGCTAGAGTGCAAAAACTTATATATTTTCTAGATTAATTGTGAACAATTTCACATTTCATTTTATTTGTTTTAATGTTTCATCAAAATGTCAACTGGACCTTCTGGTTAAACGTCAGACTTCTCTCTGGTTATGAAGGATTGTCCAATCATTTAGTGCACTTAAAATTTATAATATAAGAAAAAAGACAAGAAAAAAAAACATAATGAAAAATAAGAACATAATTAAAGCTGCAGTCTGCAGTTTTTCCTCTTTGTCGCCATCTCTGTTCGAAATCTGCAATTGCAGTCATTCGCGGAATTATCAGCTTTACGTGAGTTGTGCCTCGGCACCCCCGACACGGCACAGCGTGGATGAACACAATGTTTTGAGGAGAATGTGTGGCTGTCAGTCGCCGCCGGTGTGGATACTGGCATTCAGAATCACAGATTATTCTTTTTTGGAAGTAAAACCAACATAATAATTTTCACATTTTAATCTGAACAAGTAAGTAACATCCACTTTTGTTCTGACCAACTAAGGGGAAAAAGCATTGCAGTAAATCGCGCTGATTAAATCTAACGATCGCTTATCATATCACGTCAAACCGTTCAAATTACTTTGTTCTCAAATTGTTAATGTTCAACATCAGTGTTGCGTGACTACATTTAATTTGTATTAGGGCTACCTGTAGTTCAGTCCCAGCTGTGGGACTTTTTGTGTTAGCGCATGCACACATTTTTTTAATCAAAATAAAATAAAAGTCAGAGTCCGAATGTTTGTAATTGTATAACACAACAAGGAATTTTATTACATCTGATCGTCAAACCAACGTATACTCACCTTATAATGATTACAGCATCGGCATCAATTACAAGCCTGAATTGACAACAAAGCGGCCGTTGATCTCTCTCTTATATTCTTCATAGTGGCTATAAACATTTTGATTAAATTACTGTTACAGGATAACAATATTCTAATATCAAGTCTTGAGCAATGATAGTAAAACAGTTATGTACTAATGAGGGAAAATGCTGTTTATTTTGTACAAATTTAAACAAAAGTAACTTGTCAGTTTAAAAATAAACTCGCTGAAGTGCTCAAGACACATATTATAATAAATACAGTTTGTAGGTCAATATAGGCTCACACAGTAGGTCCTATTTTCAAAATGTTGTATTTAAAAAAAATAGGAAGAATATTTTTGCATAACAATTAAATTCTTGACACATCTTTATAAATCAAACACAAAGTAATAAACTTCAAGAAGGTTTATGAAACCTAGTACACAGTAAAGCCGCTAAATACAGGCTATTAAGTCACAAAGCCGAATTTAAATATTCATATGTTTGCTTTAAAGCCAGGCTACATGCTAGCGTGTATACTGTAACGTTAGCTAGCTGTCAGCTAGCTTGTCAATTGTCCCTCCCATTCATACAAGCTGTATAGTATTACAGTCGAAATTCACAAATTCTATAATTCGAAATTCTAGTGAAATTCACCTGGTCGTTATCTAAGGGATTATGTCAGCCAAATACAGGGTATTTACGATTCATAGATATGTGCCAAATGTCTGTCAGATTTCGCGCTCCTAACTCTTCTTCTGTTTGGTTTTTCCTAACTCACTGACGGTGCACAAGCTACTAAAGGTATAGGGAAAACATGACATGGATTTCAGGAGAAATAGGTTTTGTGAATGTATAGTGTAAGGCAAGTCGAATGGATTTGGGAAAAGGGGAGGATTTTATATTTTCGGAGCTGGAAAGAAAGACGTATTTGCCCGCATAATCATACAGTATGATCAAATATTGGGGGGGACAAATTGTCCTTCTTTGAATATTGGGGGGGACGTGTCCCCCTGTCCCCCCATAGAATTACGCCTATGATTACAAGCTTACCACTTTGAATCGAGCTAAGGCAAGCAGAGAGTTTTGAACACTGGCTGGTTATGTACTTGCTCAAATTTATTTTGGATAAGTTTTAACCCAAAAAAGTTACAGACTGCAGCTTTAAGATGAGTTAAATGCCAACATGTCAAACTTAAATTTAAACTCATGTATGAAGGGCAGAGATCTCCAGGATAAAGATCTTGCGGCCGGTGCCACGGCCACTTTCTCATGCGGCTGTCCATATTCCTGGAGATCAGAAGATTTAATCTACGGGCATTTGGCAGGTAATTCATTGTTGTAGAGCACTTTTCAACACTGAATGCAACAAAAACTTGTCATAGTTCACCAAAAAAGTAATTTATGCTCACGTCCTTCCAAGGTTTACTGGCATCATCTGTACATGTACAGATTATTCTTGTGTTCATTTTTCATCATACTGAATAGTCCACATTAATCACATTGTAACGTTCGGCCTAATCGGCAGAGTTACGAAGTAAATTAGGGGTCAGATTAAACTGTGTGAGAATTTTCTTAAGTGTTTTAAAAGATGAGACAACAACAGTGCTAACGGGAATAAATAAAGTGTATCTACAAATTTCACAAAGAACTTAAAACAACACCACAAAACTAGAAAACTTAGGTTGTAAAAAGCATAGAGTCCATAGGTTCCACACCTTAAAACAGTCCTTAGAAATCCTTGTGTGTTGAAAGTCCCAATGTG